TTTACCGTTAGCTGAAAGAAAACCCGAGTTTTTAGTAAACACATGCCTGATAAAAATAATTTTCACTATGAAGTAAAGTCATCACAATTGAATAATAATCGTAGATCGGCACCTCTGAGGAGTCCCACGATAGGACGAAACGGATGTTCAGTGCTTCTATGTTTTCTGTGGTGTTCTAGCTCCAGTTGGCTCATGAACTCAACTACTAAAATATTATGATATTCAAAAAACCCCTTTTTGATATAAATCATTATATGCTCACTAGTGACTGGTTCAAGAAATATTTCCTGAAGTCCTAGTGAGAAGCAGTGACTAGTAGAGTTTAACCGGGTCAGCTCACTGAAGAAAATGGAGGACAGTGTCCAAATTTTGTGAATTGATTGAAGCTAGACATTAACACCGTTGGATGTCGGCCGGATCAGTGGTCTAGATGTTAAACGTTCGTGCGCAAGACTGATGTGTCCTGTATTCGAATTCCGAGCGCGCGGAATCGTGGATATGCGCTGCTGAAGAGTCCCACGCCAGAATGAAACGACCATCCAGTGCTTCCATAGTTTTCTAGTTTCATTTGACTCATAAACTCAACTATTAAAATAATATTTTAATTGAATGGTTATTCTCATTCTTAGAAAGATTAAAAACTTTAATATTATAATGAATTATTCTATTTCAAATTCAAGAATAGAATATCAATTTAAACTGTCTATTTACTGAACAATAAAAAAATCATTGGTCCTACAGTTAGAAAAGTACTTATAAATGGTTGTTTTTCTCTTCTGTGCAAGATTTTGTTACCATTCTCTTAATTTTCTTAAAATGAATAAATAGTACCATGTAATTACTTGAATAATAAAAATATTACTCATTTTATGTTACATAACATGTTTTCCATAGTGGTCTAGCTTCAGTTAACTCATGATTGCAATCAATGAAATTTCTAAAATCTTCACAAAACCCCTTCTGATAATAATCATCATATGCTCACTAGTGACTGACTTCAAGAGATACTCCTGAAGTTCTAGTGAGAAGCCGTTACCAGTGGAGTTCAACCATGTCTATTGTGAGATATCAACTCAGTGAAAACAATGGTGGATTGGTTGAAGTTAGACATTAACACCATTGGATGCCGGCTCAGTGGTTTAGTTGCTTAAGCGCCTTGCGCGAGACTGGTACGTCCTGTGTTCGAATCTCGTGGGGTGCGGGATCGTGGATGCGCACTGCTGAGGATTTCCATACTGGGATGGAATGGCCGTCCAGTGATTCAAGGTTTTCCATAGTGGCTTAGCTTCGATTGACTCATGATTTCAACCAGTGAAATTTCTAAAATCTACACAAAACCCTTTCTGTTACGTAATATTGTCTATCCCATTAGAATTGCTAATGGAGATACATTAAATAACATTAAAAATAAAATGGTAAATTAATGTTAAGTAATTCGACAGCTTGTACATTTCATTGTAATATTATAATGTATATAAATAACTATGTTTTTGATTAATGACAATTAGAGTAGATCTATAATGCTTTATTATAACAAATTAATAGTTACTTAAGTAGATGTATTTATATTTACACTTTTAAAAACTAATATGAACAGTTATCATTTAATGTATCTCACCAAATATATATAAAGTGCCAGTTTGATGACAGGCTGGATAATAACTTATTCTTCACAAGAATGTAAGAAATAATATCTTTTGAATCTATTTTTGTATTAGTTGTTTTAATCTTTCCATTGATGTTTATAACTGCAATTGATAAGTTTCTTATTGGCATATTTATATCATGTGCCGATCAACTCAATACTGACTTACGTTATAGGCATTAAAATCAGAGAAAAACGATGATTATCAGTGGAATCCATGACGCGAGTTGCGTCCGATTAGGGACTTGTCAGTTAGATGTACATGCTTACCAGAATTGATGTCCACCTCCACTTATATATTAAAACTAGATAGCCACTAGCCTATGTAGTAGAGTGATCAGTTGCGGTCCTAACGCCAATAGGAGGATTATAATAAGCAATACAATGATGAATTCAACTTTACCCCATTGCACAAGCTAGTGGCTATCTGGGAGCTAAATGAATTAAGAGATGGCGGTAGAAGCAAACGGCATTAAATTCAAATCCCAGAATGAACACCAAACTCAGAGCCTTTATGTCGCGTAGGTAACAAAAAGTGTTTTAGAGAACTGAGTTTGATCGATCAATCCATAATATCAAGTTATGTTAATTCATTGATATAGCGCAACAAACATTGGACACTATCTTGACAACCATAATACTCTCAATATTAATGAACTTCATCAAACATGGCTTCTTACTAAAACCCATACTTCGCCGCGAATAGACAGCAAATAGTGAACAATTGGAACATCTATCCATCATTTTAATTTGGCAACACGTATACAGATTATATGTGTTCGTCATTACAAGTGTATCGAAATCTCATTAATCTCTATCAACTTAATCAGACTGGTAAACTAATAGTTGTACTCAGAAAACCTTTATTTGTAGTTAAGTTATTTTCTTGTTTATTTGTGATTATTTGAAAAATAGCTTTTGAAATACTAATTCAGATATACTGACTTCAGTGCATTTTGTATCATTTTTAATTTCAATGGTTGAGATCATGAGTCAGTTGAAGCTAGACCATCATGGAAAACCTGGAAACACTGGACGACCATTTTGTTCTATTGTGGGACTCCTCAGCAGTGCGCATCCACGATCCCACCTCGCGAGATTCCAGGTTTACTGACTAAGCTCCGGTAATTTCTGGAAAATATCTCTGTCTATTGTAATCAACGAAAGTTGATTTTAAGTATTTAATGAAGCAACAATAGAAAACTTCATGAAATAGATTGAATACATTTCATGATATATGCCCCAAGTCTACCATACATACATTTTAATTTGGTGAATAAGATAAATCAGATTCACTTTTCATAGTTGATTTATATAGGAGCTGAATAACTAGAGAGGTACAAGAATAAAAGCAACATAAATAGAATGATAAAATTGACATTAATTATAAGAAGAGTTAATGAAGTAATCATTATAAGGTCAGCAATAATGATGATAATGGTAATAGTATGATATCACAATTCTGGGAAGATGTAACAACTTGCAGCAATAAACTAATAAGCATTAGAATAATGTTAGAATAACGATACGAAAAACGAAACTGTTATCCACTCTATTTATTAGTAATTAGAAAAAATTACCGAACGTAAGAAATGAGGGGAATGAAGTGTTTTTTTCTCTTTTACCAAGTTTACCACATAAATCGTGTATATACTACTTATGCTGACAGATAAAAGTTGTATGTATCACCAATCGAAAGTGAAATGTACGACAGCAAAAGATTGAAATGAAGACAAATGGGTGGGAAACAGTGAAGAATTGGAATAACAATCGAACTTTAGGAATGAAGAACTGTGTATAGAATGAATGAATAAAAATGTGCAAATGATTTATTTAATGTACAATGTTCATATTTTACAAAAGCATTGCGTAATTTTGCATAAAATAATAAAGTGGTTATCTCTAACGAGTCTTTATTCACTATAGAACCAATTATATAGATACATAACATTAACTGATTAACTGTAAGTCTAACCAATTTACATGAAACATATGAGTCTCCTTATTAATAAGCTATCAAGCTCAGCGGTTTTCTTATTTTAAAAAATTGATAGTCAACTTACATCAATTTCCAATACTTACTTACGCCTGTTATTCCCAATGGAGCACCGGCCGCTGACCAGTATTCTCCAACCCACTCTGTTCTGGGACATCCTTTCCAGCTCTAATTGTTGTTCATTTTTTTCATGTCTGTCTCCGTTTCTCAAAGTAATCTGTTCTTTAGTCCTCCTCTTCTCGTTTGAGCTTGGAGATTCCATGTGAGGGCTTGCCTTGTATCTTCCAAATGATGGTTTTCGTACTTTTCCATGTTTCCGCCTCATATAGTAGAACTGTGTTGACATTTGTATTGAAAATTGTGTCTTTGGTGTTGGTTGCCAACTGTTTTGAGTTCTCGATGTTCTTCAATTGTAGACATGGTACTTTTGTTTTGCGGATTCGCGCCTTCATATCTGAATCAGATCTATCGTGTTCATCAGTGATACTGCCCAGATATGTAAAGGCTTTTAAGTCTTCTTGAGCTTCTCCATCAAGTGTGATTTGACTGGTGCATGTTGTGTTGTATAGGAGAATCTTGCTTTCCTCTTGCTTCGATACACTGGTCGATTTCTCTTGCATTTATTGTTGCGTTCGCGATAGAATACCCAGATCATCTGTGAAGTCTAGATAGTTAGGCTGTGTCCTAGCCGTCAATTGTATCCCATGCTTTCCCTCAGA